AAATGATTCGCCATTTGTTGCGTGAAATCAATTTAAATGTGACTAAACTTATCGAAAGTACTTGTTATATGCGCGACGCCGACAAACGCACGGTGACTGAGTGGGCGTCTCAGGTCGCCAACATTCCCGAGGCATCCAAAGCGGCCGCAAGAATACATTTATTTACACTATTGTTCGAAGAGATGCGCGTCCAGTGCGCCGACGAATTTGCCAAACTGGCCATCATTGACGATATGGTAGTGCTCTTGGAAAAGGCGCAGCACTTGATGAGTGTTGTGGCAAATAATAAAAATAGTGTGATTACTCCCAAATGGTTGGCACCGCTTATATTGTTGATTGATTTATACGATAAGGCGGCCGTGGCTTCTGCCCGACGCGCGCCACTCCGTAAGGCCACGAAAAGGCTTTGGAAGTGGTTTGACGACAGGACAGGCCGGTGGTCGCCATACGCTGTCGCCAACAATAAGACAATAGACGAGGCCTACAAAAATGGTGACCAAGTGATCAGATTTTCTGCCGGTCGCCGAAGATATACAGTTCAGTTGTCAACAATGGTTCAGATTAACGAAGAGACGGGAAATTGGAGGCCAATCATGTTTGTTGTCGACGAGCCTAACAAACAATCCAATGAAGAAGAACAAGTTGTGGCAAATTTGTCTGATAAATGCCCGGTCTCTGCACTGGAGGCCCGACACTGCCATTCACTGATTACAACACTCGTGGGACTGATCAGTATTCCGGTGGAAGCGGACACACTTCACGCAGTGATGAGATTGTGTTTGCGTTTGACGCGCAACTATGAAGTGGCCGCTCTCTTCGCAGAACAGGGAGGCGTTCGTGCGATACTACAACTCACTCAGGCGTCGGCCTTCACGGGCTTCACTTCTTTGGCCACTTTAATCATTAGACACGTTCTCGAAGAGCCCAACACTTTGCGTCAGACCATGGAAAGAGTGATTCGCATGCAAACACATCACTCGCCGCTCGCGTGCCGGGAAATGCATTACATAATGCGAGTGTTAGGTCCGGCGGCCTGTCGTGACGGCCGACTGTTCATAGAAATGGCCAAATCTGTGCTTCGAATTAATACATCGCCGCTCAACAAACGTGAAGACGAAGACCCGCGAGCTTTGACCCCGAGTTCTATACAATTTCTCAAAGTAATGCCCGGAAAGTTACCGACGACGGAGTCGGTCGTCCCGCCCGTCAATATCACACGGGAAGTAATTTGTGACCTTTTGAATGCGTTGATCGTTAAATCTGCCACTAATGCTACCGAAGATAATTCTCAATCTATTGAACGGTTAAAAAGAACTGGTTTTGTTGGTGGAGTAATGTCTTCATCGGATGTATTACAAGCCGATGACAACGACGAGACGTCTAATGATGACACAAACGCAGCGCCGGAGACTCCCAAAGTGGACACTCCTGTCGTCGCTGACGATGACATGAATAATAAAAAGAATAAAATACTTTTGACTCAATCACTAATTTTGAGACTTTTAGCAGAATTGACCCGAAGTTATAATTTGGTCGCCAAAGCTATCTGTGATCATATCTACACAAGTGGTTCGTATAGAAAATTGTTATTCTTTGTGAGCATTTTTATTAAAATTTTGATTTAACTTAATTTTAGGTCAATCTGAGCTCATTTCTGAGGAATGCACGGCTCTATCATTTATTTTAGACCATTTACTGCCTCCGACCCAAACCATCGGTGATCGCGACTGCCCGGCGCTGTCTCGGGTTCTGTTCGCAGCGCTGGCATCGGCCACACATTCACCAGAAGTACAGCAAAGTTTAGTGAATGAAGTGAAGAGCGCTTTACACAGAACTTTAGTGTTGAGTGAATCCAATGAAAAGCACTCAAGAATACAAGCGCTCACTTCACTGATTAGTACAATGATTGAGTCGTGTCCGGCGCCCACCACTGCCTCATCGCAACAGAACGTTCAGAATTCCATTCGCAGCCAAACGAGTCTTATGAACGGTATTGTAAAGAACTTATTACGTCGAGG